TACATAGAAAGATCCTGCCTCAAAACAGACTACAACTAAGGTCCCATAAACAGATTTTTTCGAGTGTTAAATATAGGCAGATTCGCTGTCATTCATTTTCTTTCCCTCTCCCTCTCTATTCCCCCCTTTTCCAATTTCTTGAAACAGGGGCTCATTTTGTAGCCCAGGCTAACCTCAAACTAGTAACAATCCTCCTGCTTCAGCCTTCCTAGTACTGGAATTAAAGGCACAAACCACCACACCTGGCTTATCTTTTTGCCTTTAAAAAATTTTATGTGTGTGAATGCTATGCTTACATGTATGTACGTGCACCACATGTGTGCAGTGACTGGGGAGGCCAGAAGAGAGTAGTGGATCTCCTGGAGCTAGATGGTTGGTAGCTGCTTTGCGGGTTCTGAAACCAAACCTCTGTCCTTTCCAAGAGCAGGCACTCTTAACTGCTGAGCCATTGCTCCCCTCTTTTTGTTTTTCAGAAAGGGCAATTATTCGAGTTAATGAGATGGCTCAGTGGGTAAAGGCACTTGCTGTCAAGCCTGACAACCTGAGTTGACTCCCCAGGGACCCCCATGGTGGAGGGAGACAACTGACTCCTGAAAGTTGTCCTCTGACGCCCACATGCACACTGTGGCCCACCCCCACAACAAATAAATGAATGAATGTAATAAAAATACTTCTTTTTTTTTTTTGGTCTTTTTGAGACAGGGTCTCCCTATAGCCGCAGCTGGCCTGGAACTTACTATGTAAACCAGGCTGGCCTTGAACTCACAGAGATCCGCCTGCCTCTGCCTCCCAAGTGCTGGGATTAAAGGTGTGCGCCACCACGCCTGGCTTACTTTATTATTTTTATCTTACGTGTATGAATGTATTTCCTGAATGTAGGTAGGTGCACTCATGTCATGCAATCCCCTTGGAGGACAGAAGTTGGATCCCCGACAGCTCTTAGCTGCCATGTGGGTGCTGGGAATCATACCTGGGTCCTCTGAAGAGCAGAGAGTGCTCTTACCTGCTGAGCCATCTCTCCAGCCCCAACCCACCCATTTCTTTCATTACCTGGTCGTTGCATGTGTGGTTCTGGGGCTGTGGCTGCATCTTCTCTGGAGACTCCAGAGGGCTGGAGAAAGACTCAATGCCCAGGGCTTTGAAGGTAACATCTCTCCAGCCCCAAAATGATCCTTTATATACTCATGAATGGTATTCCTTTAATAAGTTATTTTGGTACACTGCACTGAAGTGTCTCATGAGGCCCAGGCTGGTCTGGAACACACTATATAGCCAAAGATGACCTTGAACTTCTGATCTCCTGCCTCTATCTCCTTAGTGCCACCATGCCAGGTTAAAAACTTTTAATGTCCCCAGTTGAAGGTTACTAAGCTTAGTTCTGGTGTTCACTGGTCTACAACGCCTTTCTTTTCAATGTTTGATGTCAATTACAAAGGGCAAGAAATGACCCCCCTCAGCTATCAAGTCTCCTAGGCTGGCAACTTCAAGTATGAACTTCACATGATGTCTAGAGATGCCATGCAGTAGGTCATCATGCCCCCCAGGAGTCTGTGGTCCATAATCATGAAGCAGACCACATCTCTCCACTTCCTCCATCCTGTCCTGTTGTGTATAAACAATTTTCCTGGACCTTAAACCCAGGGTCTTGCTCCTTCTAGGCAAGTTTCTATATAGACTAACAAGAAAGTTGTTTATCTAGAACCAAAGGACCAAATGCTAAGAAGAAAAGAGCCAAATCCAAACACTGCTCTGACATTTGACACTTTATTTTTTTTTCTTTTTTAAAAAATTATTTCTCGGCTGGAGAGATGGCTCAGTGGTTAAGAACACTGGTTGTTCTTGCAGAAGATCTGGGTTTGAATCCCATCACCCACATGGCAGCTAACAACTGTCTGTAACTCCAGTCCCAGGGGAACTGACAGCCTCTTTAGACCTCCTCAGGCATTGCACATGGGTACACTTACCTACATGCAGGCAATACACGCATACACATAAAATTAAAAAAAAATATTTTTTTTTTCTGATTCTTTTTTGTAGGCAGCTATTGTTTACTTCAACATCAGACTGTAGCACAAGCAGTGTTTTACACGGTACAAGTGATCTGAAGTTTGACTTGGTAAGAAACAATGACAGGCTGGGTGTGGTGGCTCACGTGGTAATCCCAGTACTTAGGGGCTAGAAGCAGGTGGATCAGGAGTTTGAGGCCAGCTTTATGTACATGAGGTCCTTTCTCAATCCTTTTATGTACTCCCCTGAAAACCCCCATAGTCCAGGCTGCAAGGATAATCATGGCTACTGCGTTGGCCATTGTCTGAAGCAGAGAGCTAGGAAATAGCTACATGTTTTTAGACCATGCTCTCAGCACTGGTCTTCCCAGAATGCCTTCATAAAATTCATATACTATTTGTTGTTGCTATTTTTTGATCATTAAGATTTAACTGTTACCACAATTTCCATGTATCTGTTTCTCGACTGCTCCATAGTTCTAATTAAGGGTGCATAGACTATAAATAAAATGTTTCACGTCTATTTGTATGCTTAAGTTTTCCATTTGTAAAATGGAATAATAAAGTTCATAAATGTTTTACTCTAGGGGCATTTTATTACTGTCACTTCTTTGGTGCTGGGGATTGACTCCCACATTTTATTGATGTCCTACATCCTGAAACCTCACTGTGAGATATTTGAAGTTACCTATGTTATACCTTAAAGATAAAGGCTTACCATTTCACTCTGTTCTGCATTATTTTGTGAATTTAGGAATGCAGACTCCTAAACTTATAATGCATTAAGGGCAACAGACCACAGAAATGAAACATACTCAGTCGTAACTATATTTCATGACATCAAGGGAAAAGTGCTGGAGACCTGGTCAGAACCACACTCTTCACAACCTCACACATATGGGACAATTTCTGCTTTAGACTAGGAGCTTAACTCTGTGGGAGAGAGCACATGTTTAGCATGCAAGAGGCCCTGGGTTGCAGCTGAGCACAGACACCAATACAACACTATAAAATTCCTCACAAGGTGACAAGAGAGAGCAAGACTGGAAATGGGCCAGGGTAGAACCCTTAAAGGTCCATCCCCAGTGACCCTCCTCACCAGCCTCTTAAAGTTTCCACAGGCTGTCATTACTGCACCACTGGCTAGAGACCAAGGGTTCAAACACATGAGCCCACGGGAGACGTTTCACATTCAAATCCTAACAGATAATTGTGTGTGTGTGCATGAGTGTGTGTTTGTGGTACTGGACCTTGAATCCAGGGTCTTGCTCCTCCTAGGCAAGTTCTACCACTGAGCCACACTCTTAGCCCCATGACTTCATTCTTATTTCAAATGTTCGCCAGGACGTGGAAAGAGGTGGAGTGAATGCTTTCACTACACTGGGAATCAGTTTACAGTGAGAGGATTGGATGGGATGTCCCTTTTGCTGATTTTTCCCATCTTCCACCTGCCATGATTTCACACTTAATGAACTGGTGTACCTCAAACGTGAAAGTTACCCAGGTGAGTTGCCTATTGACACCTACAGTGTCTTCACTGCATTGTTCCTGAAGTCAGACAGCAGTCAGTGGTCAGAATGTCACAAGATTCCTGCCTACAACAGGATCTCAAAACCAACAACAAACAGCAAGTAGACAGGCTAGCAGAAAAACTGAGGGCAAGATAGAAGCTTGAAAAACCAGTTACTAGGTGTCTATTCCTGTGGTCTTTGTGACTCCCACAGTGGCGTACTGTGGCCAGGGCCAGAAGGTGCAGACAGTGATGGTGCAGCCCGTCAACCTCATCTTCAGATACTTGCAAAATAGATCTCAAATTCAGGTGTGGCTGGATGAGCAAGTGAATATGTGGCTAGAGGGCTGTATTACTGGTTTTGATGAGTACATGGACCTCATATCAGATGATGGAGAAGAGATTCATTCTAAAACAAAGTCAGGAAAACAACTGGATTAGATCATGCTAAAAGGAGATGATATTACTCTGCTACAAAGTGTGTCCAACTAGAAATGATTGAGGAAGTGAGAAGTTGAGAAGGCAGTACAGTTTGTTCTTTTTTTCAAAAAATATTATTATTCTTATTTTATGTGTATATGTGTATTGCTTGAATGTATGTAGGTGCACCCATGTGTGCAATGTCCTCAGAGGACAGAAGAGTCGGATCCCCTGGAACTGGAGTTACCATGTGGGTCCTGGGATTTGAACCTGGGTCTTCTATAAAAACAGTCAGTATTCTTAACCACTGAACTAGCCTCCAGCCGCGCCCCCCGCCGCCCCAGTTTGTTCTTTTTTTAAAGGTGACTTCTAGGAGCATAGTCTGCATTTATTCATACTGTTTTTTGATTTTTTTTTTTTTTGGCCTTTTTGAGACAGGCTCTCCCTGTAGCCCCAGCTAGCCTGGAACTCGCTAAGTAGATCAGGCTCAAACTCACAGAGATCCACCTGCCTCTGCCCCTGGAGTGCTGGGATTAAAAGTGTGCATCGCCATGTCCAGCTTTATTCATATTGATTTTGATGACCCTTATGTTATTATGTGACAATAAATGCTGTGAGATTGCTTTTGTTAAAAAAAAAAAAAAAAAAAAAAAAGAGGCAGAAGCAGAGGCAGGCAGATGTCTGAGAGTTCAAGGCCAGCCTGGTCTACATAGTGAGTTCCAGGCTAGCTGGAGCTACAGGGAGACCCTGTCTCAAAAAGACAAAAAAAACAAAACAAAACAAAATAAAAAACCAAAAAACAGCTGAATGTGGTGGTACAGGCCTTTAATCCCAGCCCTTGGGAGGCAGAGGCAGGCGAATGTCTGTGAGTTTGAGGCCAGCCTGATCTACATAGTGAGTTCCAGGCCAGCTGGGGCTACAGGGAGACCCTGTCTCAAAAAGACAAAAAAACAAAACAAAACAAAACAAAATAAAAAACCAAAAAACAGCTGAGTGTGGTGGTACACACCTTTAATCCCTGCCCTTGGGAGGCAGAGGCAGGCGAATGTCTATGAGTTAGAGGCCAGCCTGATCTACATAGTGAGTTCCAGGCCAGCTGGTGCTACAGGGAGACCCTGTCTCAAAAAGACTAAAGAAAACAAAACAAGCAAAACACCAATCAGTTACTAGAAATCAAGGCAGAAGATCCAGGTCCTTGGCTGACTCACCTAGACAAACACACGAATCCTTCAGCAGAACATTTGTCATCTTATCATACGCTTCTCACTTCAAGAAGAGAATGATGGAGCACTTCAGAGAGGGCTCATTGTGTAAAGGGGCTTGCTAAAAGCTTACGACCTGAGTTCGATCCCAGGGACCCACATGGTGGAAGGAGAGAACCAACTCCAGCAAGTTGTTCTTTGACCTCCACACACATGCTGTGGCATGTGTGTGTCCCTCCCCACCAAATGAATAATAAAGCATTTTAAGTAAATGAAAATGAAAGAAATAGTAAAAGGGCTTGGAATACACCTCAGTGACAAAGTACTTGCCTAGTTGCATGTGACCCTGGGTTTACTCTCCCAAAAGAAGATGATTATGTCTTATTTTATCATTAAAGTGCCTCAGGTGGCAAAGGTGTGCCGAATACTATTCAAGATCACACCACGGATACTTATTTCTGTAAATGTTCTAAGTCATTATTATAGTCATTATAAATCATTTATTTTTATTTTATGTGTGTGAGTGTGTTGCCTGCATGTATTTAAGTGCACCTGTGTTGTACAATGCTTGAGGAGGCCAGAAAAGGGTGTCTGATCTCCAGGAACTGGAATTAGGTGGTTGTTATCTGCCATATGGGTGCTGGGAACCCAATCTGGGTTCTCTGTAAGAATAGCCAGTGCTCTTAGCCACTGAGCCATCTCTCCAGCCTGGTAAATAGGTTTATAGCTGAGAATTTAACACATTTTTACTGTAAGTGCTGAGATCTCCAGGCCTCAGTGTTAGAATATTTAACTAGCATAACATCACCCAGTGGTGAGGAGGCACAGTGGACCAACAGACTGGATCAGAAAGAACCTAAGTGACTCTTGGTGTCGGACATCTCTCTGCCATCATCAAAGTAACATAGAGCCTGCTGTAGTCAAAGCCACAGGACGGCATTTCTCAAAGACGGTCCAATGAGCCCTGTTTGCAAACCAGCACAGACACTGTATTGCAGTACCTTGGAATCAGACCACTTCAATGAGCTTCTCAGGTGAGTCTGGTGCAAGACAGAGTTCGAGGACAGAGTGACTTGGCAAAACTGCAGGTTGGCTCTACAAAGCCACAGAAGGCAACTAAAAATGTCTAACCATTGCAGCTTTCAGGTCACAGCTTTGAGTCTCCAAGTCTCTTCCCCCGTTGACTGGGGTGCTGGGACTGTGTGTAACTTCTACAGCCAGGGCTTCTGCTTTCCTTCAAGTCAGGATGCTTTTACTACTTGTATTGAATGTATTAGGAATTTATTAGGAATTTAGAAATCAGAAATTAAAGATGAATATTAACTCTGTAAACTCTGAAACCAAACTGAACATTGCTGTGACACTGTGTGAAGTAGATAAGTAGATAAGAAGCTAAGTTGTAACCCAGCAACCAAACAGAACCTATGTGAGTTGAGTGTCTGTGTGTTGGTGATAAGTGACCACAGGGTGTGAGCCATATCTCAAGAAAACACTGAAGTTACTGACGTAAGTCAGAAGGACCCCAGCCAAAAAA